ATGGTTCGCGCCTATTGAACCAGTCCGAAAGCGCTGCGGAAGATTTTATGAAGGCCAAGGTGTTCCCGCAACGGAGAAACGCTAGAGACATCCGGGGGATGCTTCTGTGGAACTCCCTCTTTTTGCATTTTTATATGCAGCGCGGGCGTTCCAGTTCCACAGCAAACAGGGGCCCACAAGGCACCGCCTGGTTAGCCATGGGCCCAGGCCGGGCACCGCTAAACGAAGCCAACGGGTACAGTGCGAAGGGGTGGAGTTGCACTTATTGAACTGCCCCACATTAAAGAGTCTCCAATGTCACTTTGCGGTGGGCGGGGGCAACGTGGAGACGCTATGCTTCACGAAAAAGCTCGCCAAATACCTGCTTGCAGTGGAAAGGCTTTGTCCTCAACGACCTTCCCCGATATAACAGACGACTACCATACTGGCCCAGGGGTGGTCCAGTCTCCCCTCTAATCTTCGACAGTTTATAGATTTTTGTCGAGCTCACTATCGAAACTTGCCTCCCCTCTGTACTGCTTCAACCCGGAAAGGGACAAGTAGGCCTAAGGGATCCCGGATGAGGGGAATCGGCTGTCCGATTCTTTCTGTGTGTGTTTCTTCACTGGACCGGCTCAACAAAACGTACAACAAAATACCCAACGAAACAGAGGGATCTCCTTTCATACAGAAGTTAGGCCGTAATAAACGTGCTCTACGATGATGGCTGATGTGACGGGGTCGCCGGCGCAAGTCGAGAAGACACGAGGAGGAATAAAAAACTTTTTCTTCGTCTAGGGCTGCCAGCTGCGGCGTCCCTCCAAAAAAAAATTGGGGTGCCTGGTTACTACGTATGGGACACTGTGTTTGACTGTTTTCTGGTTGACCGGTGAGAATTTATCAACACGGCGATGTGCTATTTATTTTTCTGTGACCATCAGGTGAAATATGCGGGAATTTATGCATAGCATCCCTCATATTTTTCTTAACAGGTGAATTCCGTCCAGAATGGGGTCGCTGTACGACCGAACACGATTTCGGCGCAAGAATGGTAACCCAATGCAATGCATGATCAACTGCACTCGGATGGTAGTGCTGTGCAACTCCGTTCTGGAGAGGATTCGACGATGACTCGAGCAGTGCAAGACCGGAGTCTGGGCCGTTGAGGAACGCATCTTTCTAATGTTTTGGCTAGAGGGTGATTATGAATCGATAAAGAACGCATTCCAGTTCTGCGTGCGGGTGGATCCTTGGCCCACACTCTTGTTTCAGCCAGCTTGCCCCATTAAAAAGGATTTAAAATGCAAAGGTCTTCCCCCTCACACGCACAGACGAACAGATCTTTACCGTATGGGTCAAGACTCGGGCTTTCCGACCCCATATGACTTGTTTTCAACGGTGGTTGTGAAATACGGTGGAGAATTTGGTGGAAACGCCTCTGTTCAAAGCACAGTAAACAATGTACATGTAGAACCATGGTCGTTTTAATGGTCATTGCAAAGGACCTTTTAATTACTATATTGCCTCAATATTTTTCGATTTTTGTCTTACGTGGTGCCAGAGGATAATACGGTTAGCAAGATGCCGCGGAGGATTTTCTTTCATGGCGTCTGATCCAATGAAAGAAAGGTGTGTAGGTCTTGCGGGGTGGAGACCCTACAAATGCCGCTTTTTCCTTGCTTTATAGATGCAATGAATACTGTTTTTCCTTTGTTGTTGTGTGGTCTCGGACGTAGATTTACTAAACGGCTAACTTTTTGTTTTCTGTTCTTTGTTTTCCTCTGCATTTATGGAGCTGAGTAGAGGGCGGTTCCAAAGCTCATATCTGATTGTGAGGCCGTTTTTTGCGTGAAGAAGCGCCTTGTACAATGGATGCACGCCCTTCTAATCATACGGCTACGAGCTCTACCATCGGTGTATGACATCGCTCCCTTTTTTTTGTAATCTATTCCTCTTTCATCTGCTGAGAAGTCATTTTTACAACATATCCAAACAACTGGAAGGCCTTTTAAGTTGTTGCAGCCGGAATGAGCGGTACTTTACAGGTTGCTGGACTATGTTTAGTGGGAGTGACAGCTTTCGCGGTCTTGTCGCTGGTGGTAGGTGCTTCGGCATCACACGAACCGCGGTTTCATATTCGACCAATCTCCGGTGATGTTAGCGCCCCTGTCGTCCCCTACCGTGATTTGGAAACGAAAAAGATGCACCTTTTCATGCGATACACACCAAAGGATCCAGTGGCAGATGAAATCGCCTTTTACCATTTTATTTCCATGGATTACCTGAACTGGACAGATAACGGTGTCGTCTTGGAGGCTGACGTTGGGTATGGACTTGAGGGCTGGTCTATCACTTGCAACTCCGATGGTTCACCAGTGATTCTGTACACATGCAACGGGGAAGAGGAAAAGGGTGCCTGCACTGCTGTACCGCCTGGAAATGATCTTACCTCTGATGAACCATTATTTCTTAACGCACTTTTGCGGTGGGATGAGAAACCTGTGCTGACACATAGCACTTTAGCCGGGCAGTATGACCCATCCGTATTTGGATACCCGACGAATTTCTGGAAGAATCCTGACAGCAGTTCGGAGTGGCTTGTGGCGTTTGTGATGAATATTAGTGATACCAAAACAGGTGTACCCAACGCACACGCCGTAGTCTTCGCCACTGCCGATCCCACCTTGCTTTCGGACTTTTACTACTCTCATACCCTTTGGGTAAATACACATAGTACCGGGGAGACGATGGAATACTTTGATATATTCGAGCTGGATGAGAAGTACTACGTTAAGTTTTCTGCATCGTCGCGTGCTTTCCTGCAGGACTACTGGGTGTACGGTGAATACTCGCATGCTGAGAGTGACAAGAGGGTCTTTGTTGAAGATATGGAGCGCACACCGACGTTGGTCGATTACGGCACTTGGTATGCATCGAAACCCTACTTTGATCCAGTCTTGAAGCGTACAATTTTATGGGGCTGGATACCCGAGGAACAAGATATCAAGGCTGCTGCTTCTGCCAAAGGGTGGTCAGGTGTTATCGGTATGCCGCGTAATATAGAGTACGATGAAGTCGCACGCAAACTCAGGACCTACCCGATCCCAGAACTTGAGAGCCTGCGCCGTAATACCAGGAGAGAAACTGTTTTGGTTGGCGCAAACGAGGTGGAGGTATTCAATCTCACTGCTCCACTACACTATGAGATTACCGTCGATTTCACCATTCCTGAAGAATTTACTACCAAGATGTCAGAGAAGACAGATACCGCACCTTCATTCGGTATCCTAGTGCGCTACAAAAACAATGACGTGAACACCCGCATCGCAGTAACGATGCCGCCGACAGCAAACTTGGGAAAAGGCTATACACAAAGGGAAAGACCGTACAAGAGAACAGTCGTCCTGTCAACTGAAGAGTGCTCCGAAGGTTGTGCTGCTGATCGTCGTTGCGCCTCTTGGAAGGCTGTAGATATGAGGAAATCTACCGGGCGGGTGAACTGGGAATGCGTTTTCATGAGCTCCCTTGACGTTGTTTCCGTCGCAAACGCTTCTACGGTAACAGGGCGTGTGCGAGATCCCATGTTGGTTATGGACTGCACAATGTCTGGCATGACTGGATCCCCCATCATATGGAGCGGCCGGGCTCCTCTGTTAGAAGCGCCGCATGTACAACTGAGAGTGTTTGTGGATGATACCATCATTGAGGTGTTCAAGGACGGTGGTTTAGAGTCGCTGACGGGGCGGGTTTATGTCCCAGCAGAATACTCTGGTATTGCATTCTTTGCATCCAACATGAAGGCACCTGTGACTGTTTCAGTTCACTTTTCCGAGATGGATAGGGTTTACGACTTGAATGCAACTGGCAATGCAACTGGGAATGTGAGTGTGGATGCTGCGTGGCGCGAAGTGATGGTGCAACTCGTTCTTGCAGCGCTTCTAGCTGTTTGTGTGCTTCACGTTGTGCTGCTACAGCCTTTCCTGTGAGTATTGACGTACCAGAAACTAAAGTATATATATATATATATATATATATATGGCATACTTCCCCGACAGTTTTTATGCCAAGGCCTTATTAGCCCCATAAGAAAGCCAAAACACTTTGGTGCCATTAAACATTTGCTGTTCAAAGTGAACTCCTCAATCACCAGAGTTAAAGAAGTGCTGGAAAAGTTTTAAAAAAACTATACGTACAAAATAAAGGACAGAAATTAAGTTTTAAAACCTTGTTTTATATACATACGCTCGCTGAGCTACACCTATGTGGTGCATTTTTCTTGCTTATCGGACTTGATTCGTTTGAGGATCGTTTCAAGAACTTAAGAGACCGAATAGTTTAACAGAATGCGGCTATGTAGGTGCTGCTTAGTTACACTTTCTGCGTGTATTTTGCCTTCCCTGTTTCGCTATTTCCTCCTCTTGCAATAATACGGTGCAGGCGAGACGGAAGCTGCAGCTTCATTGGGCCCCCTTTCCTGCTGGCAGGAGAAGTCTCCTGGACCTCAGGAAGGGCAAAACCAAGGTGCTCAACGTGAAGGGCTCTGCTGCGTTACAAAATGGTTGCCGATATTCGAAATGCCGGCCAATTTCGTTCTCCAGACGATGGAGAACACCAATGCCGTGCCATTGCTTGGCTTTTGTGTGCGCTACAATAACGAGAAAGCAGACACACGTATCGCCGTGACGATGCCACCAATGGAGAACCTGAGCAAGAAAAAGCGATCAAAGTGAAAGGTCGTACAATGTGCTTTGCCTTGATTCGACTGAGTTTTGCTCTCATAAGTACCCCGCCGATCGCCGCTGGGCTGCCTGGGCGACGGTGAAGAAGGAGAGTTGGCGGCAAAATTGAAATTGCATTCCCATTGGCACACCGGATGACTTGTTTTTTTGGCAACGCCTCCAGTATGACGAGCGGTGTGGGCAGACTGAATTTTCCCACGGACAGCTACAAATCCGGCACAACTGGGTCCGTCGGTCCCTCGTGGAGGGGCCGAGATTCTCTTTATCACAGGAAGAGGGTGCAGCTACGTTTGTTTGTGGATGACCCCACTCCCCATGTCTTGGAGGGCGGCGTTCTGGAGTCGCTGGCCGGCCACATGTGCATCCCGGCAGAGTTATCTCTGGCTTTGCCCTCGTGACGTGCAACATGGGGACGGCCGTGTGCTCGAGCGTTTTGGGGGCACGCTCGTTGCTGTGGTGCCGCCAGCTGAATGTCGACCTTCACACCGTGCTGCTGCAGCTCCTCCTATGAAAACCCAAGGAGTGAACCCAAGTTCCAAGAACAGCACAACCAAAACGAGTTATGATGTTCTTTTGTATTGCACTTTTGGATGTGAAACAAAGAATACAGCATAATCGGCAGACGATTTTTTTGGTTTGCTGCCGATTCCATGTGACAGTTTCCCTTTGTTTCGAGCAAGCGGCATGCTGGTGTTTTTGTGGACCTTGCCAAGTAGACGAGGATGACATATAATTGAATCGTCGCTAGTCATTTCCGAGAGCATTGTCAACTCTTTTAGGTTGACTTTGGATCCTTTCATTTTCTCGAATCCACATTGTTTAAAAAATACATGCGCAATGGGACAGTGAATAGATAATTCACGTCTGAGGGTGAAATGTATGTCTTCTCATATTTCTACTGTGGTTCTCCTGTGGTGGTTGCGACAAATGACCGTGGTGCTGTGGGCCCCTACACGGCAGCTTTCTCGCCAAGGATGACAACATCTCAAGTTTCTGGCGGTTGTGCGCCAGGCGTAATGAGAGCATCACGAGGAATCACAACATGACAGTGACGCGGGAACAGCAGTACATCTTTCGGTGTCACATCGGTCTATCAAGACTCACGGAAATTGATTCTATTCGTTTTATGTTTATCCTAACACCACACATGATGTGCCACCGCTAATGACATTTGTTTCCCTCTCCCCGACAAACTCTCCCCTTTTCTCTTAATCCCCTTTTGATCTTACACAGAGAAGGGAAGTCACAACTGTCACATCTACGGTATTGCAGGACACCGAAGAGTATTGAGAGCTCCAGCTGCGATCACATGCTTAGCTCTGGTCATGTTTCAGTCCCTCGTCAAGGCAGAAGGGAGGCGAGACTACAGGCATCTATGGGACTGCAGCTGAGAGACATCCAGGTGTTGTTTCTGGTACTGATGGTTGTGGCTGCACCGTTTCTTCGCTGTGCTGCTGCGGCTGGTGGCGTGGTCCCCCGAACGAGAATGGCCACACCTGTAGCCGGCAACAATTACTCGGTGCTACTCATGAACTGCTTTCCCGGCGTTGTACTCAGTGCTTCCAACGTCCGATACGCCTGTGAGGTTAATAGCACCAAAACACTGATTGGCTTGAACCTCTCCGCCTCGTACTACACCCCAATAGGCCTCATTCGTGGCTGGCCGGCGACTCTTGATGCGGAACCCAATATCATTACATTCCTGCCTGATCGTGAGGTGCCTTCAGGACGTTGGGAATTGGTCTTCACGTCGTTTTCTGACGTTAACAAATCATATTCTCCTATGACGACCACTAGGAGCATGGACTACATGATGATTAGTGACGCCAAGGCGAATTTCGCTGCGTCCAATCCGTATTACGGTATGGGTGTCTCGTGGGCACCCAATCTCCCAACCGGCATCACGGCTTCGGGCCACATGCTGGTGCGCTCTTTCGGTGACTGCCAGTACACCACTACAACCTGCGCTAACACTGATGGGTGCCACAGTATGCTGCCACCTGCAAAGCTTCCTCCTCCTGGCGAATACTGGCTCTGCGTGACGTCAAAAGACTGGCGTTCCCAATACCTTCCATGGGGTGTGAACCCTCTTGAAGTGAAGATGCTGATGGCAACGCCGCTGTACTTGACAGCTGGTAAGGACAGAAATGTCATGTTGCAGGATGCGGAATCTGTGGTCAGTAAATTGAACCGTGTGTTCCTGGTGCGGTGCCCTGGCAACGACTGCCCCCGTGTGACTACCGGCAGTGGGGAAGAGGTGGTGCACTTTGATGCGTGTGCTAACCCCTCCGTCTTGTCGCGGGTGAATCTGTCCAACCTCCATGTGCTGTCTGCACAAGCTGGCGTGTACGCTGTGTGTGTCGATGACGGTGATGGAGAGTACACTGCTCCTGCTGCGCTCCCGGTGACGGTGCTGCAGGAGCCCTTTGCCTTCAAGGTAACTGCTGACAAGGACAAGAACACGGCTAAGATTGATGTTAGCGGAGGTGACTTCGAGTGGCGCAGAGAGCCATACACGGTGTGCGCTGTGCCGCAGGGTGAAGCATGTGGTTCCGTGTCTTCTGGGTCTCGTATGTGCGAGAAGAGTGAGTCCCCAAATTCATTATCTGTGTCTATGGATCTCACCAGCAGGGGAATGCGTGTTAAGGATGCGAAGTTCTGCTTCATCGCAGCCGACGTGACAATCGGCGGACGCGCCTACACGTTTACGCAGGATTTGCCGGGGTACAGCGCTGTGTTGACAAGGGGACTGTCTGGCGGAGTCATCGCCGGAATTGTCATTGGATGCATCGCTTTATTGATTGTTGGGGTTGCCGTGTTCTACTTCTGCTACTGGCGACGAAGGCCGAATGTGAGTAAGAACGGCGATTACCCCTCGACCTCTGTGCCGCGGCATGTGGCCAAGAAGAGAAGTCGCCCCGTGGAAAAGTCCCGTGTGGCTGCTCGTGAAGATAATGACGGGGGCCCAGCGAGTATCGGTGATTATCCTTCACTGTACTCGCTGGGGCAGGTGGATAACCCCATGGCGCATGGGCAGGCGGAGGAGAGTACATCAGTTCCCAACGTGGAGTCGACTGCGCTTCCGTGGGATGAGGACAATTCAGACAACCTGTCGAGTGAAAGTTTCGAGGAGGAGGAGGGTGAGAGTGAGTACACGTCAGAATCTTACACGTGGCCATATCCCTTTCCGCCAGATAATATGCCGAAGGTTTTCTTTTCGGACGTGATATTGCCGGACAACCCATTCTATGATCCGGCGTTTAGCGATACGTTGGAGCTAGAACGTTATGAAGTCGCCAGGGGGGTGCGCTTGACGCCAGCAGAAATTGGCAGACAGTTGTGCTATGTGCGTAAACCCGGAATAGGAGGCGATGGTGCACCCAGAGTGCGCAGGCTTCCGCGTTACAGGCCTGAAAGGGACAGTTCTGAACAGGTGCGCGGGCCTACCGACGTGAACGGCGCAGCTGCTCCGCTTCTGAATGGGAATCAAACCGGTGTGGCTCGTGGTGCGGCAAGTCCTGAGAGGGACCCGCCCGCTGGGCACTTATAGGAATACTCTTTTTTTCCGGGGTATGTGTGCTCTGCGGGTGGTGCGCCTTGGCGGCGCGCGGTGGGAGGGCTGCCGCTCAACACGTGTGGCGGGAGGGACACGTGTCATGGCGGGCAGTCACGCAGTCTGAACCAGAGCGATGTGGTGCGGTGAACTGCCGTGTCTTGCCTGATGGGCCGGCCCGGTGTGTCGCGGCGCTGCCCAAACGCCATTGGTGCAGCCACTTTCTTTCGTATTTTTTCGTTTTGGTAGAATATATATATATATATA